TGCATAGTCTGACAGACTTTTTTTCTTTTAGTAACAGTGTGAATGTTCTTTTGTGTTGTTCAACTGGCGTTTTAAGGCAATTCATTATACTTGTCTTTTAATCATAATACAGCCATAAACTGTATTTATTTACTACTGTTTTCAAGATACTTTTAACGTTCATATTTTTTAATTGTGTGTCTGTGAGTGAGTGAGCACCTTAAACATGATAAGCACTCTTAATCAGCCTGCTTGGATTGCACGACCTGAGGACCTGCCTGGCTATGAACCACGTGAGTGGTGTGCTGTTTGTGGCAAGTCTACTACCAACAAGGGCAAAGTAAACTGTTCGTACTCAGACTGCCCGAATATCTGCCATCCCCAGTACCTCGGTGAAGACAGCCACTTCACCTGCACAGAAGTGCAAAGGCTACGCCAAGCCATTGGCATCCCGGACGAAGTCTATCACGTGAATCCTGATAATGAGTCAACTGAGACACATGAGTCTCCTGCCATTGATGAGGAACGGGAGCTTCTCCAGTTAGAGCCTACGGACCTAGTTAAAATAATCTGTAACCTAAAATCTGAGCTGTCAAGGAAGAACTCGCTTCTGAAATTCCTCGGCACTACCACAGAGGATATTGCGAGCAAGAGGGATGCTGTTGTTAATATATTAAACTTTTTTGACAGCATTGTTGCTTCGACAACTGCACTTCCATCCCTAGAAGTTAGATCTTGCCTGTACTGCGTGTCCTGAAAAGATTGACGCACACTTCCTTTCACAGCAGCAGGAACAGAGCAGCTCAGATCAGTCCGGCCTACAACAAAGTAACTCTTCACAAGCGCCGTTGTCGAGTGCTTCAGCAGTTTCGAACTCAGCTTCACGAATCTTAGTTAATGCAGGCCAACAAAGTAGATCTAACAATAGACATCCCCCATTGATCCAATACACCCTGTAATCGAGGTGCAGTACCTCAGGGTGGAAGGCGACCTTTATGCTGCAGGATCTGCAAAACTAGGGGTCACTCAGGCCTCCTGTAACAGAAAGAAATCCTGTGACTTCTGCCACCGTAGGGGGCACACAGTTCAAGAGTGCCGGGCAAAAAAACATAATCAGGAAAGACAGAAATGTTATTTTTACAGAATTTTGCATCTGAACAGGCACACAATAATGCCCTGATCTTTAAGACGCTCCAAAGCCTGTCTACTGGTCCACATCACTACAGACCATCAGGATTTGGTGGTTGGCCACTGACCACTATCCACCCACTTCATCATCTGGTTCAATGTCCCACTCCAGCAAATGGCCGGACAATCTTACCATCCTCTCGGCTAATGTCAGAGGTTTCCAGATATATATTGGTGACCTTACACAAAGCCATATCATACCACACAGTCCTGACATAATTGCCACTGTGGAGACTTTTCTAAATCCAACAGTCTCAGAGAACTTTGGACAAATATCTGGTTTTTCGAAATGGCACAGAAAGAACAGAAATAGTGGCACCTTTGGTGGTGTCGCTGTCTGTTTCCGTAAGACACTTTCCGTGCAGCCCCTGGAAATCGACATGCCTGATCATCTAGAGCTCATGTTTTTCAGGCTTTGGTTTACCACCCTGGAAACCGTCTTGCTCTGCATTTGCTATAGGTCCCAGTGGCAAGGAGAACCCATCGAGTTCCTAATGAACAACCTGGATGGAATTTTACATCAGTACACCTGCAAAAACATCCTAATTGTAGGTGGTAAGAACCAGCATCTTGTAGCAAGATTCTTTGAGGATCTGTTATCAATACATGGGCTAAGCAACCATGTTGATTTCCCCACCCATATCTCAGGCTCTTCATTGGACCCTGTCATCTCCGACCTTCCCGAAGGAGCAGTTAGCTGCCGTAGCACAGGAGCAGTGGGCTCCTCAGATCATTATACCATATACAGCAGGATTAACCTGAAGGCCACTCGTGAGGAAGCACTGACAAGAACCATTTGGAGCTGGAATAAGGGCTGCTGGCAAGGTTTTCGCAGTGCCTTGGAAAACATTACATTGGACTCCATTCTCACATGAGATGTTAATACACAAGCTATTAAACTCACCGAAACTCTACAGAATCTGCAAGAACGCTTTATACCCCATAAATCGTACAAAGCAGGAGATCAGCCTTGGTTTGGGCACACATGCAGACTTGCAGCCGATGAAAAAAGCAGAGCCTGGAATTATTTTAAACGTAACCCATCCACAGAAAACAAGCTGAACCACAAAACTGCCTGCAAAAGAAGGAAACACGTTCAAAAATGGGCCATTAAACAGTGGAGACAGTCTCAGTAACAAGCTTACTAACCGTTCGATCGGCAGTAAAGGCTGGTGGAGTTTAGTCAAACAACAACAGGGCCTCGCGGATCAAGACTGCATTCCACCACTATATAAGCCAGATGGAAACGTAGCAATTTCTAGTCAGAACAAAGACGAATTACTTGCCTCCCACTATCAGAAAATGTGAGTTTGTGAACCTGACCGCACATCTCGGCTTCCATCAGTTACTAATCAGAGACTTAACTCACTAATCATCTGTGCTTCTTTGACAGCAACCACCTACTCAGTAGCAAGCAGTTTGATTTTAGATCAAAGAGATCAGCATCCGACCTACTACTACAGTTAGTCACCAGTTGGAACAAATCCCTTGATGCTGGCAAAGAAACTTACGTCGTTGCCCTGGATATCACCGGTGCCTTCGACAGAATAAACTAAAACAAAAGAATATTGGTTTTGATGGTGATCTGCTGAAGATGATTAAAGATTATTTACGAGGAAGAACTCTCCAAGTTGTGGTAATTGGCTGCACTTCAAATGAATACCCAATCAGTGCAAGTGTACCGCAGGGCAGCGTCATTGCCCGCTCTTATGGAACGTCTATTTCAATGACATTCTACATCTGATTCCAGAAGCCTATGCATATGCTGATGACTGCACGTTATCATTTACATGTGAAAAGCATGGACGCACTGCCACAGCTGAACATATTAATAATGTGTTACCACTCATCACCTCGTGGGGCCGACCTGATAAAAACCAGGTCATGTTAATTTCCCGTCAACAGAGCCCACTAACCCCCTCCATTAGTGTTGATGGGCAAACACTCAATCTCACAAGAGAAATAAGCATCCTTGGAGTACAGTTTGATAATCAGCTGACATTCACTATTCACGCAAAGGATATGGCCAAAAGAGCAGCTCGTAAACTGGCATGCATACGCCGAGTCTCCCATCTTCTAGACAGCAGAGGTTGCTGCATGCTGTACAATTCACAATTTCGCTCCCTGATGGAATATTCCCCTCTGGTATGGTCGTTTTGCCTGCCGTCCTTCCTTGCCCTACTTGACAGAGTACAGAACCAAGCCCGCCGCCTTGTGGAATTCAAGATGCGGGAAAATGATCGCCCGGTCTACTTCCAGTCTCTCCAGTACCGCAGGGACGTGGCGGTGTTGTGTGTATTCTACAAGGTCCACCAGCAGAACAACCCCTACCTCGCTACGTTACGACTTAAGCCCGAGGTTCCCTTAACCTACAACACAAGGAACAGCCACAGCCGGTCACAAACTTCAGGTTCCCTTCGCGAGAACAGAGACCTTTTTACCCATATTTCTGCTGAAGTACTCCAGAATGTGGATCAGCTGGTGCGAGAGACGGATTTGCAGCTTTCAACTTCACTTCAACAGTTCAAAACAGCAGTACACTTGTGGAGGCTGCAGTATGATTTCGGATAACTTTTTAGTGTGATAAGCTACCTTGATTTTGGCATGGGTCATGCTAAAGATAACTTTAGCGTCATCACTTAATGTTTTAGCAGAAAAGCGACCCAAAATTGGTAATGACAGCGTATTAAACTGTAATAAAGTTAAAGAGAGAGAGAGGGAGAGAAAGAGAAAGGAGAGAGAGAGAGGGAGAAAGGAGAGAGAGAGAAAGAGAGGGAGATAGAGAGAGAGAGAAAGAGAGATATATAGAGATAAAGAGAGAGAGAGATAAAGAGAGAGGGAGACAGAGAGATGTATAAAGAGAGGGAGAGAGAGGGAGAGAGACAGATAAAGAGAGAGGGAGAGAGAGAGAGATAAAGAGAGAAGGAGAGAGAGAGAGAGAGAGAGAGATAGAGAGAGGGAGAGAGAGAGAGAGAGAGAGATAAAGAGAGGGAGAGAGATAAAGAGAGAGGAGAGAGAGAGAGAGGAGAGAGAGAGAGAGAGAGAGAGGAGAAGAGAGAGAGAGAGAGAGAGAGAGAGAGAGAGAGAGAGAGAGAGAGAGAAAGAAAGAAAGATAAGATAAAGAGAGAGGGAGGAGAGAGAAGAGAGAAAAGAGAGAGGGAGAGAGAGAGATAGAGATAAAGAGAGAGGGAGAGAGAGAGATAAGAGAGAGGGAGAGAGAGGGAGAGAGGGAGAGAGAGAAAGAGAGAGATAAAGAGAGAGGGAGAGAGAGATAAAGAGAGGGAGAGAGAGAGAGATAAAGAGAGAGGAGAGAGAGAGAGAATTAAAGAGGGAGAGAGAGAGAGAAAGAGAGAGGGAGAGAGAGAGAGAGAGAGATAAAGAGAGAGGGAGAGAGAGAGACAGAGATAAAGAGAGAGGGAGAGAGAGAGAGATAGAGATAAAGAGAGAGGGAGAGAGAGAGAGATAGAGATAAAGAGAGAGGGAGAGAGAGAGATAAAGAGAGAAGTAGAGAGAGAGAGAGAGTTAGAAATAAAGAGAGAGAGATAGAGATAAAGAGAGAGAGAAGAGAGAGAGAGGAGAGATATATAGAGTTAAAGATAGAGGGAGAGAGAGAGATAAAAGAGAGAGAGAGAGAGAGATAGAGAAAAGGAGAGAGAGGGAGAGAGAGAGATAAAGAGAGAGGGAGAGAGAGAGAGATAGAGATAAAGAGAGAGGGAGAGATAAAGATAAAGAGAGAGAGAGAGAAGAAAGAGAAAAGAGAGAGGGGGGGTAGAGAAAGAGATGTAGAGTGAGGGAAAGAGAGGGGGAGATGGGGGCATAGAATGAGAGGGGAAAAGAGAAAGAAAATTAGATAATGAATATATTTTCTAAAAATAATATAGTATTTGTCAGTCTGCCCACAGGGAGCGTGTGGCGCCACCACAGAGTAGTTGTTACAAATGCAATATTTGTGGTCGCGAATATCGCATTCAGTCCCGACTGGAGAAACATGTGAAGATGGTTCACACCCACCCAGAAGCTCGAGTATTCCGTTGCACAACATGTAACCTGACATTTGCATCAAATAACCACAGGTATGGTATTGATTTCAATTTCTATTAGTATATCGTATTTTTACAGTAATCTTATTTGTAGCATATGTTGTCTTGTAGTAGGTATAGCAGTCATGATAGTGATGATCTTGGTAGATCCAAGCAGGTGGCATGATGTAAGTAATGTGGATTTTTGTTAATTTGTAATCTTTACTTGTTCATTATTGGTTGAATGAACAGTTAACTTTGGACAATATCCATCTCAGGAAAATATGTAATAATTCAAAATATTTTAATATGGCCAAATGTCAACAACATTGAACTTCATTGCAAGGTCTATATAAGTACTTATATAGACCTTGCTTCATTGTACCTTGAATACCATCATGCGATCAGTATGATCACCTCAAAGCTTTCAATCTTTGAGGCGATCACACACACGCACGCACACAAAAATGCACACGTACACGCACACAAAAATGCACATGCACACACAAATACACATGCACACACAAATACACATGCACACACAAATACACATGCACACAAAAAGGCACACACGCACACAAAAATGCGCACACACACAAATACACATGCACACAAAAATGCACATGCACGCAAAAATGCACATGCACGCACACCAAAAAGAGCACACCCACTCACTCACTCACCCACCACCTTTATTGATTTACCAGCAAAACTTATACGACAAAGGTAGTCTTACATAAATAATCATAGTCAATAGAACATACTATATATTGTCTTTCAGCATGGTCAGGAAAATGACACATCACAAATAAATAAATGATTACAAAGTTTTATGTGATTGCTGCTGAATAAAGAGATAAGTGTTACAAACTAGGAAAAATAAGACTAAGAAATTCTATATATTCTATATCTTTGATAAATATATTCTTCCTTTCACAGTTATTATCATATGATAATGAAGTGTAATAACTGCTCTTATCTACAATACATTTTAAGGAGTATTTTCAAAAGGCTACAAGCACAATGATTATTAGGTTTGTAATTGATTTTAAAAGCCCAGTGTATATGGGCTGCATGGAGTAATCTGTGTGTAGTTCTTATCACCAGCTACCTCTCTCTCCCTATCTCCCTCAATCCACCCTTCCTCTCCCTCTCTCTACTGTTTATGGCTGTTCTTACCGATAGTTTTTTTTCCATATTCTCCCTTACGCTGGGCAGCGCACCCGCTAACCAGTCAGAACCTTTGAAAACAATGACGTCTAATTGGTAGTGTTGAGAAAATTCCAACGCATTGAGCTTCCCGGATTTTACTAAAGAGGCCTTAGGAGAAAGCAAGCAGCTCCTCTGAAAATGATGTAGGAAACATAGATCTCAAGCAGTGTATGAAAGACATTAAGTAGGAAGAAATGAGTATGCCCAAATCATGAGAGAGGCAAAACTAGATTTTGATAAGGATATAATAAAATAATTGTGCAAATCAACCTAAGCTCTTCTTTGACTTATATAAATAGTCAGACTTTGATTATACAAGGAGGAGTAAATGTGTGAAATCCTTAAGAAAAACTTCAGTTTGTTTGTTCAGAACACTTTGAAATAGAAAGTTACCTTACACTTTTGCTGTTACTATTCTAAATATGAATGAGATAAGGAAAACTACAAAAGCTTTGAAACTTGCCAACATTAAACCTGTATTTAAGTGAGTCAACAAGTAAAACCTAATTAATAAACCAGTTTTGCTAATTAGTGTAGAATGTAAGCTTCTAGAGAGGTTGAATAGGAAACATTGGATTGAAGTACTTGAAAAACAATGTGATATCAGATAATCAGTATGGTGTTAGGAAAGGTAGGTCGTGTCCTGCAAACATTATAAGAAAGTGACAGCTGGAGGGATTGTGTATATTTAGACATTAAAAAGGCGTCATTTCATAAAGTGTCACACATTAGATGTAAGGAAATTAGAATAAGGTGGCATAAGATTTGAAAGTAAAAATTGATCCCTATACCAATAAGATTTAAAGCGACAGTATTAAACATAGCAGATAGGGAAAAATATATTGGAATAATCATAACTAGAAACTTATGGCTAGATGATTATATAAATGAAACAAATCCAATCAATGCTAGGACTGATAGCAGACATGAAGAGGTCATTCATTGTAGGTGGCCAAAGATATGGTAAAGATTATTACGACCATCATTACAACTCTCTCTCTCTCTCTCTCTCTCTCTCTCTCTCTCTCTCTCTCTCTCTCTCTCTCTCTCTCTCTCTCTCTCTCTCTCTCTCTCTCTCTCTCACACACACACACACACACACACACACACACACACACACACACACACACACACACACACACACACACACACACTCTCTCTCTCTCTCTCTCTCTCTCTCTCTCTCTCTCTCTCTCTCTCTCTCTCTCTCTCTCTCTCTCTCTCTCTCTCAGAAAAAAAAAACGGTAAACCATTTGCCAGAAGACAAATGGTTAATGTAGTGGAAAACGTTTAATTTATTTTTCATATTTTGTATTTCAGAGTTCAGCATTACCGTGCAGTGCACCGCAAGCGGAAGCAGCCTCATTGTAATGAGTGTGCAAAATCTTTTGAGACAGTTGATGAGCTCAATGTTCACAGGCAGGAACATAAGATTAATTGCCCAGTATGCAATAAAACTTTTGTGGTAAGTTGAAGTATGTACATGCTATAAAAGTTAATCCATTATTAAAGTTTAATCCAGATCTCTAGTGCACATGTGTAATGGCAAGGTCTGGGATCAACTTTTAAATCCAGATTAAAGCTTAATCCAAATCGACAGTGCTTTCACAGAAGAAACATTGCCAGACGCTCGTCAATGTGATTATCAGCAAATCTGCTCTTTTACGTAGAAGTGCGGGTATTTGTATAGTGGTAATTAGTAGCCACCATCCTTGAATTTCATATCACACACTAATGTTGATAACATATACGGCAGTATTATATCACGAAGATCAGTATTTGTGCCACTACAAGTAAATATAAACAGCTTCAAATACCTTTTGAATTTTATAGGCAACTGAACCAAAGGTGGCACACAGAACATACTCTCAACATCAGTTTATATTTGCGTGTGAGTTCTCCAAGTGCTCTTTTTCGCGAGTGATCGCGGGTCATGGGATAGGGTTGTTTTTCAGGATATTGTTATCGAATAATATGATAAATTTCCTCGCATTTTAAAGTTATTGTAATATAAAGATTCAGGAAATTTGTATTTAGAATTTGAGATCTAATCGTGATGTTTTTAAAAGCTTTCTTTTTTAGTCTATTGGTATATTACATAATTTGGAAGCATTTATTTTTTTTTTTTCCTGGATAGAACATTGCTTTTCTGAATATGTCAACTATGGAATTCTCTGTGGGATTTTCTTTTTTTTCACTTTTTAGAGTTATGACTGCAGTTTGAATATCCCAAACTTATAAGATGTTGATGATGAATTTTCATATACATCTTTAAGATGAAATGTCAGAATTGTTTTTATTGGCCCACCAGAGTGTGGACAACCCCTGGCTTTGTATCAACTCCTACCCCCAAGCTCCCTCGGGTCAATGGGTGGCTTGGGGGAGTTGGGCCTTGCTAATCCTCCTCCTCCAGATAAAACTCATTGGCAATGCAAAATAGGATTGGAAATGCTGGGGAGAGGGGAAATGCCCGTGCAGCAATTGAGGCAGACTATTTGTCCACGTTGGGAGGGCGACAGCTGGGGCACAGGATGGGAACGGGAGCTACTGTCTGCCAGTGTTCTGGCAGCTGCCAACCCAGTGTGAAGCATGTGGGCAAAGCCCAAGGGACTCCCACAGGTGGATGTTGGGTTCTGCTTATACAAGGCAGCGTCGGCGGGGGTGGCAGAGGAGGCATCTACCCAGAGTAACTGCCTGAGGTTAACCTCTGGTGGGAGGTTGGAACATCCGATCTTTGTGGCAGGATGATCAGTTGCCACTATTGTCGAGGGAACAGGAGGCTGAGAGTTGATATGGCTGCTCTCTTGGACGTGATAACACCTGGCAGCAGCACGATTAGTGTGGGTGGTTATACCTATTACTGGTCAGGCCGCAGTGATCGTCACCATCTTCAGAATAGCCTTCTTTTCTGGGTCTTTGCAAGGTCTCAGGGATTGAGGATATCTGGCTCTTGGTACTAGCGCTCTGACCCCCTGTCATTGGACGTTGTACAGCGTGAAATGATCAATGCAACTCAAGAATTAGTTAATAAACGCCCAAGAGCAAGACAGAATTTTTTCTCGCAAGAGACGCTGTAAGCTACAAATGCCTGTTGTGCGGCTTGTCTGATAGGGAATCAGGATTTGCATCGTTCTCGGGTGCACAGAACTCGGTCAGTGTTGAGAAGGGACATGAAGAGGTCATTCATTGTAGGTGAATTATTAGGAGAATTATTAGTTTATTAGGAGACTTGCAGAGGAGGTCGAAGGCCATTTCTAGTAAATGACCTTTGTCCTGCATACCAAGTCCTGAGATAGCTGAATTCCAAGCCCTCTTCATAGGTGACTGCAGTCCACTCAGTAAGTGGCCTGATTGTCTCAGATCCTGCTGCAGTGTGGAAGCGTTGGGCTGAGTATTTTGAGTAGTTGTACCAGGGTGATCCACCACCTGCTAACTAGGCTGCGGGTAGTGCTGATATTCTGTTGCCGAACCCACCCATAAGTGAGGATCCACCCTCCCAAACTGAAGTTTGGGGGGCGATCTTCTAGTTGAAGTGTGGTAAAGCAGTGAGTATCTGCAGCATCCCTGCTGAACTGTGAAAGGCTGGTGGCAAGCCTATGGCACAGGGGTTGCATGCTGTCCTGGCTGCCATCAGGCAGTCTGGTACTATTCTCCTTGACCTTTTGAGGGGTATGGCCATCCCTCTCTGGATTTGGGAAAGGGGATCGATGGGACTGCAACAATCACCAAGGCATCACACTGCTCAATATACCAGGTAAGGTTTTCACTCACATCCTTCTGAGATGTATCAGAGACCACCTACTGAGGCACCAGTCTGGAGTAATCTGTATTCACTCCTGGTAGGTCTACAATAGACCGTATCCTGGCGCTTCAAGTTATTGTAGAACACCTCTGTGAGTTCAGGCATGGGCTGCTTGAAGCCTACATCGACCTCAAGAAGGAGTTTGATATGGTGCATAGGGAATCACACTGAGAGATCCCAAGATTAAGGGAAATTCTGTCAAGGATTATTGGATTAATAGTAAACCTGTATACTGGTACTGAAAGTGCTGTAAGGTGTGGTGGGGGCCTGTCAAGCTTCTTTCCTGTTAGTTCAGAAGTGAGGCAAGGCTGTGTCCTTGCACCAACACTTTCCAACACTTGCATGGACTGGATATTGGGCAGAGCTACTGTCCAAAGCCATTGTGGAGGAACTCTAGGCAATATCAAGGTTACTGACCTTGATTCTGCTGATGTTGCTCTTCTATCTGAGGCTTTGGAAACCATAGTGGCGGTTAGGGGATGGGCTAGGAGAACCTGTTCGGTCGGTATGTGCTTGTGGCAAGGACATAAAAGTCACCAAGAGGTTTATATACCTTGGTAGTGGAGACGAATTGGCCTGGCAGCAGGGGTCATGAACCCTCAACAAGAGTATTTGGAGATGCTGGTACCTGTGCAGAAGGACCAAGTTACATGTTTTCAAGGCCCTGATAATTCCAGTTTTACTATCTGGTAGTGAAACCTAGACATTATCTTGTGCCTTGGAGTCGTCTTGATGCCTTTCGTTACAGGTCCTTCTGCTGGATCATGGGGTACTTCGGGCAGGACCATGTGTCCAACCAGAGGCTGTACCATGAAACTGGGACAAGACCTATTACTTGCACGACCCGTGATCACCAACTCTAAGGCTATATGGCCACCTCATTCACTTTCCACAGATGATCCTGTCCATTAGGTGCAAGGGACCTGTGGGTCGACCTAGGAAGTTGTGCCTTGGGCTGATCGATCAAACCTGCTATGAGGAGCTTGAAATGGCCCCTAGTCCCAGCCTGGCGGCTGCCATGAGGGAGGTGGAAGCAAAGGGTGGATGTGGCTATGCGCTTCCACTAGCGTTAGCTCCCAGTGATGATAATAAAATTGAATGGCAACTCAACTCTTATCTTTTCTATGGAGTTGATGACGTCATTATGTATCAATACATGATTGGTGGGATTAACTAGCTCATTCTGCACATGTGCAGGATTTAATGTTGAACCTAAAAGTTAATGCTGGTCCAAAGGTGTCTTAATATAATATAATGAACAGATCAAGTAATAGAACAGGTTATAGTTAGATCCAGAACATGAGCATAACATTTGCATAACACAACATATTTTTTTTGTACACAATATTTATATTTATCTTATATTCTGTGTAGAATCACACTGTCAGTAAAGGATGTATCAAATACAACACATGATGTCATGTTCATAAAGTTCCAGTTCATTTAGAGGATGTATTATTATATATGGTCATTGATGTGTGCAAATGTTTGTTTATGCCAGTTAGGTTAATCTCTCTCAATATTATTTGGGACACTATACTCCCAGTGATATTTGTGCAGTCTTGTCTCACTCTTATCATATTGTAGTTTCTAGGTTTTATTCAGGTTTTCTTAGCCTAAGCTGAATTGTTATGGGAGAGATCCTTGAGCTACAATTATTTTGTTCAAGTAAGCTAACTGGATCAGTAAAAGCTTACTATACATAAAATTAGTATACTCAAAGGTGAGGCAAGTTTCAAAATCTCTTCGGATTTCATTTTTTGGAAGAAAAAAGGAGAGGTAGGTAGAGGGGAAATGAAGACTAGCTTCTTGCAAATAGAGGCCACGGTCAAGTCAGAGGTGGCATTTGAGGGGCAGTACCCCAAAGACTGTGTTTGCCCTCCTCAAGGTCTAGGTTGCCCACTTCCTTTTTATTAGGTTACACCTTTATAGGCCCAGTTATAGCTTTAAAATATCCCTAGAATAGCTAAATTTTCTAAATTTTTGTTCACTTCATTTGTCCACCTGCTTCTGCCCCCCTACTTTTCACTTTTTTTCTCCCCCCCCCCTCTCTCTCTCTCTCTCTCTCTCTCTCTCTCTCTCTCCTCTCCTCTCTCCTCTCTCTCTCTCTCTCCTCTCTCCCTCCTCTCCTCTCCCTCTCTCTCTCTCTCTCTCCTCTCTCCTCCTCTCCCTCCTCCTCCTCCCTCCTCCTCCCTCCCTCCCTCTCTCTCAGGGTTTGTTTTCCCAGACTTTGGTGGGTATTGAGACACCGTTCTGGTTTAGCTGTTTATTCCGATGAGGTGGTAGCGTGGCGTGGCTGTCTCGTGCAAAGGGGAACATGACAGCCGTGGGGAGACCCCCAAGGCGTCAACTGCCTGGAACCACTGAAGAACAGGTTGCTGGTCGATAGCGCTGGGGATGTGGACAGCTAACCCTGGTTCCTCAGATCGCTCGGCATAAGCTATTAACTGTCGTCCTCGACAGGCTAGCGCTAGTGTTCACTGAAAGACGTACGTCCAGGGCAGAGACAGGGAGTGAGACAGGAGGGCAAACATTTGGGGTAGGGGGTTGTGTGATAGTAAGGGACCTAAGATATAATAAAAATATATCAGATTGCAATGAGTGTTATTTCATTTATTTGCATGAATACTATTAATTCACTGTCAAGGATAGACAGAGGAGCA